CGTGAGGTTCCTCAGAGTGGCAGATGATGAGGCACACAGGTGATGTCTTTCTCCATTTTTCCTACTTGTAGGGGCTATTGAGCAAATTTGTCTTCCACCAGGCCAACCCTGTGAATAGGGGCCTCATATTGATGGGAACCTCTAGTTTATGGATAAAAAAAACCCCTTTCCCTCTTTTTAAGCCATCTGTGCTTTCTCTCTGATTTCCTGCATCATGATTGAAGCCCAGACACTTAACTCCAGACGCCTGCCTGAGCTGCCCACTTTCCCACCCTCCAGTCAGGAAAAAGGGAAGGAAAAGAAAAACTCAGAAACCTCAAGATTGTTTGGAATTTATTCTCTTAAATAAGAATAGTAACATTTGTTTAAAAAAAAATAAGAAAAGGAAAAAAAGCATGACACCTTAGTTTCACAGCAAGGGCAAAAACAAAGTTACACAATTAAATTAAAAAAGTCACAAACACACTTAAAACAACAACAGCACAGGTTAAGAACAAGGGTCAAAATAAAGGTTTTAAGGGAAGGCTGGAAACAGACAGGGGGTCCTTGGCACAGTTCACCTCCCTTTATTCTGTTTTGTCCCAGGACCCTCTCCCCTGTCCCCACCCTTCCATCTGCCCAAGCTAAATGGCACAGGCCAAAACCGAGACCTATTAATTCACAGTTCAGACCTTCAAGGCGCGTCATGAAGCGCTTTAATGGAAGGACTGTCCAATAGAGAGACACAGTGAACACTGAAACAGCAGAAAGTCCCTGTCCCTCACCCAGAGGGACCAATACGCAGAAAGCCAAAGGGGAAGGTCTAGTGTTTGGTTCTCCAGGGTATGTGTTGTGAGAACCCACCAGCTTTCAGGAATGGATGTATCTGTTCGTTTTCTTTGGTATCTACCCCTGGAAAGCCTTCCCAAGCCTATGAATGGCTGGATTACTCTGTTCCCACCAATGTCTGACCAGAGCTCGAAGCCGGGCTAGTGCTTAGTTCCCCAGTGGAAATGCTCCCTTGGTTTCCAGATCCAAGGAACAAGCTTGTAAAACAACTCCCGTAATATACTGCTATTATTATTTAGCACAAAATAAAAGCACCCATTCACACACAAGAAATGAAATCTACATAGACTATGTGTGTGTGTGTGTGTGTGTGTGTGTGTAACTGTAAATATTTACCCGTCACCATAAATTATGACTCATAGGTACAGGGGCTCGGAGTTAAACTGGATGGCTCTACTCATATTTTCCAGAAAATCATGTGAAGGGAAAAGGGTGTAGAGAAGCAGTGGGAACATTTCCTCATTTCCTCCTGACAGGCAAAACCCAGGACTGAGTGGAATTCCTGACACCACACAGCTGTAAGTGGAGTGAGGGAATGCCTGCATCTCCTAATGGCTCAGGCAGCATGCAAATATGGAGCCGAACGGGGTCACCGAGGAGCATCTGGGAACAGGAAGTCACTGCTGTTCTGCTAGAGAACTTTTCAGTTAAGACCCTCTTCGCCGTGAGATGGCAAAAGCGGACACGTTTCTCCCATTTTGTCTATTGCCTACACTGTGAGAAAAGCTTTCATTCTCCTCTTAGAATACCCATCGCTACATTCTTCATGCTTGAGGACAACAACAAACGAGACCCAAAGAGCCTATCCTGAGCTGGCTCTGCTTTCGGGGGGAAATCCTTCCTTTGGAGCGCTTCTTTTAGTGTTGTCCAAATTTTTCATACAGTTAGAACAGGTACTACAACATTAGGCGGGGTAAAAATCGTTTGTGCCAAGTTTACTAATCTAGACAAAGGACTGCAGGTAGCTTAAACATGTTTACAGATTTCTGAGAACAGGAAAAAAATTTTCTATTTTGAAAACACATTACAAGAAAAACTGTACACAAAACCACCAAAACTATGTTAGGCAGCTTTACATGCTGGGGGTTAGAGAAAGAACAACACTGCAGAGTGGGCCCGGAATAGATACTTTCAATAAGATGTCTGTCTTTTTGGCAACAGCAATAATTTTGGTCGAAGGCCCGAGGAACAGAGGAGAGAAGAGGGAGCAGCTTGAGAGAGCCGCAGACCGGAGCAGGGCCAGTGCAGACACAGAGTGCGCCTCCGGGACAGGCCTCGGGGCCAGTTTCTTAGGGTCAAGTTCACTCATTTACAGTGTTCTTGTCTGAATGTAGTGGAGGAGGTAGACCATGGATGTGAGTCAATGGCTGTTCTCTAGGACAAACAGTCTAGAATTTCAAACTGCTGAGATATCCCTGAAGCTTCTTAAGAAGAAATTCTAGCTAACCAGTCAAAGTTTTACTTGAGATTTAAAAAGGAAAGTCCTATTAAAGGAGATCTGCTTCCTGCCAACTATAAACTATCATCTATACTTCTGTTCCTTTTCTGTGGAGACAAAGAAAGATGAGACCCTCAGAAGGAAAGTGCTAGTGCTCAGAGCTATTTCCGAAAGCCCGAGTCTCCAGGAGGTACAAAGGGAAACTCATTTGCCCCTATCAATCTGGCTGCCCCACTGTCGGGAGTACCTTAAACGGGGGTGCCTGCCTCATTCTTAGGGGTTATTCCGGCTGTGAAGGCCCTGTGCAATTACAGTCAAGCAAGAACCATGGGGACTGAGACACTGTCGGTGGTCATTACCAGGAAACCTCGGTAATGCTAATCAATCACTAGCTCAATCTTTTCTCCCTGCTCATTAGAATCGACTTGCTATAGTACCACCCTGAGGAGTTCTAAATGGCAAATTGAAACCGAAAATGAACAAACTTAGCTTGCTCAGACTTGAATTTCAGTGGTTTCTGTGGGGCGGGGGGTTGCTGGGGAGTCCACACTTACTGGTGCTCGGGGGACTAGATGGGACCCTGGGGATCAAGCCCAGGTTGGCTGAGTGCAGGACAAGTGCCCTACTCACTGTACTATCTCTCGGGCCCCTCCGAGTTTTTCTATCTTTGTTTTGGGGTCACACCCAGCAGGCTCTCAGCCCTGACTCCTGGCTTGGTGCTCAGGAATTCACTTCTGGCAGTGCCAAAAGTGTGGGCAGAACTGGGGATGGCACACGCAAGGCAAGCACCTTAACCCCAGTACAAACTCTCTGGCCTCTGTTAAACTTTTTAAAGGATGTTCACTACTCTTAGATACAAAAAGTTTTCCTTTGAGTTATTTTACTCAGTAGTCAGGTTCCCAAAATAGCTCACCTCTGCAAGAATAAGGTCCTCACTAATAAAGTAGAGCCTTTCTGTGGCCAGATATGCACTCCAGAACACAACGTCCACGTCTCTACTGTGACTCCATTGCTTATCTTTGTAATGGCCAGAACTCCCCAAGTCTTGCCCTACCTCCCTGCACTGCTCCAAGAGTATCAATAGCAAAGTGCTGCGAGCACTTCATGAGATTAGAAAGGGTTTTAAGAGAGTAAAAGGTATAAAAATTTTACTTTAAAATTCTTCAACAGTGCTTAACATTCAATCTATATGACACTTCAAAAGTTCCCCTGATTTTAACAAGAGCATGAATGAATGGTAGCAAAGAGAGCTCCCTTCCCACACTCTGCTCTGTGACTCAGCTGAGTGGTACCTCCTGGACTCTGCAATCATCCTTTCTCTCTGGGCCTTCTTCCACTCCTGGAATGAGTGCCACTGGGCTCACTTCAGTGCTTGAGCACAGGATAAGCAGCAACTTCTGAGACCCTCTCACTTAAAGACCAAATGGATAGTTTCTCTCTTTTCCTATTATGGAAGTGCCTCTGACAACATCTTCACAGGTGCTGGCATTTCGAGTGCCCACGAGCCCTTCTCAGTCCTGCCCCGCTGAGACCAAAATGAATGTTTTTAGAGGTAGAAACGGTGTTATCATTCACTCCTTGACACATGGGAATGATTAGTAAAAGTAATTAGCAAAATTAATTAGAAACCAGTTAGGGTCTGATTCTCTTTAGAAGCGGAAATGCCTCAAACAGATTATGGCACCAGAGAGTCAGTTTGAATATTGATTGATGTATAGAGTTTACTAGTTACTATGCTTGCTTTGATCAAGAGGGAATGAACGGCAGAAACAGGATTCTACTGCCTTCTCCTCTCACTTACACAGTGACCTTGGACAGTAGGGAGGGCTCTGAAGCACCTGGAATTTGGTGAAAAAAGTGGACACATCGCCGAGGCTGGTGTGACATGGAGTGGAGAGAGGCGATTTTAAGCGAATTAGCCAAATGGTTCTTCACAACACATCTAGTGCCCAGGAGCCCTCCTCAGTCCTGCCCTGCTGAGACCAAAATGAATGTTTTTCGAGGTAGAAATGGTGTTATCATTCACTTCTTGACACAAGGGAATGATTAGTAAAAGTAATTAGTAAAATCAATTAGAAACCAGTTAGGGTCTGATTCTCTTTAGAAGAGGAAATGCCTCCAAGTCACCAAACAGAGCACACCCTTTAACTAGTCCAAGCAGAAGAGCAGTGTCAGTCTGTCCACAATCTGAATATGGAACAGGATGCAGGAATTTCACGCTTAGGTAAACACAGACGACATGGCTTACATCACAAAACCATGTTCTGTCAAAAAGCAAAAAGCAAAGACATGCAAGAAGGCCATGGGACTCTGGATTCTCACTTCAGTCAGTGATCAAAGTGGCCTGTTTGAGAAAGAACCTGGCCCAACTCCCCCAACTAGTGTGTTTGTTGCATGTGGGCAGACCCCAGGGTTGCAAGGGTACTTGAATACGAATGATTATTACTGGAGCTTGTGTGCTACGACCGGCTGGTGGATGGAGGGGGTGGCCCTACTGGCTCAGACTGTCAGTGAAACTCCCCTCTGATCTGCACCAGCACCTCCGACAAGCCATAGAGAAAGGGGACTCCGAAAGCAAGCAGCTGGCACATGAAGAAGGAGTCCAAAGGGTTTTGGGTCACTTGATGCCCAATCGAAGAAATGTTGCTTTGGAGGTGCTGGCTCATCCCCTTGGCCTTGTCACAGAGGCCGAGAGAGTGACGCGCCACCCAGCCAAACAAGGAAGTTAGGCTACCTGGAGTTCTCTCAGCGGGGTTGGCAAGGGCGCTGGCCCGTCCATGCGCATCAGCAGTAGGGCCGTCCTGCAGGGATCCTCTTGCCTCCTAGGAAAGTCGAGAAGGAAAACGAGAATGGTTGCGACAGAAGCACTCACGCCTAAGGAGGCGGCAACACCTGACTCAGAGCAGCTGTCCTCACAGAAGTCAGTCGTCCTTCAATTTTTTTTTTTTTTTTTTGGTTCTTGTTCTGGGGCTATACCTAGTGGTACCTGAAATCATTCTGGTTGTGCGCTCAGAGATCACTCCTGATCCTTCAGGGTACCATACTCGGAGCTGGGGATCGAACCAGAGTTGGCTGTGTGCAAGGCAAGTGTCTTAACCCCTGTCCTATCTCTCTGGCTCCAGTCTTCCTTTTAAAAAATCTAGATCTACTCCACTCAGTCTTCTTCCACAAATCCCTCAGTAGCCAACCGAAAGCCTTCCAAGGAAGCATCAAAAGTGCGACTGCAGAGATAGAACAGGGTGAACTAAGACCTTGCATGCAGTGGACCCTGGGTGAGTGCCTTGTATGCACTGTCCCACAAGCACGACCTGCCCCCTCCAGCACAGAGCCAGGGGAAGCCCCAGAACATCACATGGTATGACCCCAGAGACCTCCAAATAAAATTAAAGTTTTTAAAGAGACAGAAAAAAACATTCTTAAGTAAGCAATTCACATAATAAATAACAAGACAATGGGTAGGCAGAATAGGTCATTTACGGCCAAATTCCTTTCTTCCGGGTACAGAGAAATTTACTCAGGAACAAGATTTCTCTTTGTAGAGACTCCCACAATCTCCCCAATGCAACGCAGGTGGTGAACAGAACTTTACCTAATTATCTAATGGTGGGGCCCACAATTAGTGGATGCCTGAAAAGCTGGTTCCCTCCCCATGCTGGAGGGCAACCCCCTGTGGTGACACATGCTCGGCAATTTGTTCTGTGGCTTCCACAGGTCACAGCGGACCGGACGCCACCACCCGAAGAAGGTGCCTGCAGTCCTGCCCCCGTGAGGGAGGAGAGCTGTTCCATTACCTTCCCAGAGAGAGGGGCCAGCGCTGGTCTCTTCCTCTGCGCCGAGCCTGAGAGCCGGTAACAGTAGTGTGGTTTGCAGTAGAATTTACCTGCAGGCAGTTAAGAGGCAGGGGAAAAGCAGTGAGTAAGACTCTGTAATCCAGAGGACGACTCCCTGGCCTCGGACTCTCCTATCAATCTCCACTAGCCAGGAGTGCCCATCACGTCTTCATCTTCCACAGGCCTGAGCTTCCTGTCAAGGGAGGCCCTTTCCTCCCGACAAACTGCGATTCCAGCCTTCAGCATCTCTGTGCCTGAAGGGAGGGGTTGCCTGGGGCATGTAAGACCACTCTTCTAACACCCAATCAGTGTCCCAGACAAAGATGTGAGGCTTGCTTGGCAGGGTCAGGAAACAAAGTGACAGTGTGTGCAGAACAAAGACGTGGTCACATGAAAAGCTGGGAGTGACATTTATGAAAAACCCAAGAATGAACACAAGTGCAGGGCGGAGGCGGAGAGGTGGAGTGAGCAGGGCAGAGCCCGGCATTCGGACTGGCAGGACCCTCTGCTGCTCTCCTGTCACCGGCCCCCAGTCAGGCCTGGTCAAACAGCAGTTGGGGATCATGGAATCCAGGATCAGCTGGGAAAAAAAATGATATAAAATTCCACCAAATAAAAACTTCAAAATAGAGAGCAAGAGAATAAAAAAGAAAACAGCATCAGAGTCTGCAAAATTACTTTTAACTGTGTCTGAATTTCTTTCCTGTGTCCTAATGTAACACGGAGTTGGCTGTGGGGGTGGTGAGAAGTCTAAAAACCCGTGATCTTGGCTTTACCCAGCACCCTGGGAGTGACAATCACTCCCAAAGAGTTACCCCCATATACACTTTTATTTTCACTCCCATGTAAAAAGTTGAGGATTTGGAAAGTTAAATAATGAGGCCCCTAAGACAGGAGCTATTGAATTAGGAGTAATGGATTTATGCTCTCCCATAAAGGGTGCTCCTTTGCCAAGTGAGCTTTCTCATGCACAGTTAAGAGGACCAAACAGGAAAACAGAAAGACCAACAAAACTTAAGTTGGTCTTAAAAACAAAAACAAGTTTTTAAAAAGACACACAAAATCAACAAACTTAGTAGATAATGGACCAAACATGATAACCTCTCAGTACCTGTACTGAAAACCATAATGCCCAAAAGTAGAGAGAGAGTATGGGGAGTCATGTCTGCCATGGAGGCAGGGGGAGGGTGGGAAAGGGGGGCTATACCGGGGATGTTGGTGGTGGGAATGTGCACTGGTGGTGGGACGGGTGTTTGATTCTTGTGTGATTGTAACTCAAACATGAAATTTCACAGTGATTCAACTGAAATAACTCAAGAAACAAAAAACAAAACTAACAAATTTTTACCTAGGCTAACTAAAAAAAGCAGACTCAGAATCAGAAATAAAAAAGCATTCCTCTTTTTGTTGTTGCTGCTTTGTTTTGGGGCCCCAGCGAGTGATGTTCAGGGTTACTCCTGGCTCTCGACTCAGGAAAATGTACACTGGTGAAAAGATGGGTGTTGGAACTCTGTATGACTGAAACCCAATCATGAACAACCTTCTAAGTATGAGAAAGAAAAGATGACTGAATTTAAAAATGAAAACCAAAAAGAAGGAATCACTCCTGGCAATGCTCAGGGGGCCAGATAGGATGCTGGGGTTTGAACCCAAGTTGGGCACTTGAAGGCAGGCGTCTTACCTGCTATACTATCTCTCCCATCCTGAAAGAGCATTTCGACTGATACTACAAATAAACTAAGGATCATGGGAAACTATGAATAATTATATAGTTGAATCTGGAACAACCAGGGTTTTCAAAAATCCATATATGTGAATTTTATTTTTTCGTTTTGTTTTTTTTCTTTTTATGTTTTCTCTTTTTTTTCTTCGAAATTTTCTTATAAAGAGATGACATACATTTATTTTGCATATATATGTGTGTATAATATATATGTATATATTATACATGCATATACATATTATATATCGTTCACACATATCCAGCATTGTGAATACATCTTCTCTCTACTAGCTGATTTTACTGTAAGAAGTATATGATACATAAATACATATACAAAATACGTGTGAAGCCTTTTTTTATGACATTGGTAAGGTTTCAGCAGGCTATATACTAGTTAATTTTTTTTTTTTTGCTTTTTGAGTCATACCCGACATTGCACAGGGGTTACACCTGGCTCATGCACTCAGGAATTACTCCTGGTGGTGCTCAGGGGACCATATGGGATGCTGGGAATAGAATCTGGGTCGGCCGCATGCAAGGCAAACGCCCTACCCACTGTACTAGCTCTCCAGCTCCACTAGTTTAGTTTTCCCCACTAGTTAAGTTTTAAGGTATCAAAATTACAAGCAGAGGCCACTTTGTCTCCTCCCCCGCCACAACGAGACTCTGAGATGCTGCCTACGGACAGCCCTTCCGGCTGCTTAAGCTCCTTAATGGTCATGATCCCAGAGACACACAAACGAATCTCGGAACCCAGAGGCTTCTGGCAGAAATCTCTCCAGACTTAATTATTAAAATTTCAGAATTCCAAGACTGCACGGCTGCGCGACATCATATGCTATTCATAATCAGCAATAGGAAAAAAATTGTCTACTGTTGCCTTTTTGGCAGGTCTGAGTGTTGGGGGAAAATTCCAAATAATGGTGGGACTGGTCTCAAAATACTGAATGTAATCAAAGCAGAGAGAGTAACGTGGAAATTATCTGCCACACAGGTAGGGGAGGGGGTGGGATGGGGGGGGTGTCTCCTGGGGTATTTGGTGGTGGGAAATGTATACTGGTGAAGGAATGGGTGTTTCATCATTGTATGACCGAGAGTTAAACCGGAAAGCTTTGTAATTGTTCTCATGGTGATTTAATAAATAAATTAAAAAAACAAAATTATAAGTAGATTTTGACTGTGTGTATGTGGAAGGGGGTGGGTTGGTTGGGCTGGTGCCAGTTCATTTCATCATCCTGTTATTCGTCGATTGCCTCGAGCAGGCCCCAGTAACGTCTCTTTCATCCTAGCCCTGAGATTATATTCAAGGCTCTTTAGGAGAATGAGACCCATCATTGTTACTGGTATTTGGCATATTTGGTACGCCACGGGGAGTTTGCCAGACTCTGCCCTGTGGGCAGGCTACATTCGATAGCCTGCAAGTTTGTCAAAGGTAGGAATGAGATAATCAGATGTCATAAAAAAGATGCCAGTTAATCCTCTCTTTTTTTTTTGTTTTGGGGTTATATCCAGGTGCTCTGGGGCTACTCCCAGTATAGTGCTCGGGGGTGGGGGGAGAGCAGTAAAGCTGTGAAGTGCCAGGGACAGAGCCTAAGCAACCACAATCAAAGCATGTGCTTCACCCCTCTGAGCTATTTCCAACATTCACGCTGGTTAAGGGTCTGTCAACAAACTGGATAACCAAGAATAGATCAACAGATTCCTAAAAATCTATAGCCTATCAAGACTGACTTATGAAGGAAGATCTTAGGTAGATCAATATTAAGGAGACTAAATGAAACAGTAATCAAAAGTCTGATTTCCACATGAATAGAATGAAAAATAAAAACAGAAAAGATCAGGTCAGATAGATGTCTTCACAGGTAAATTCTACCAAACACTTAATGAGGAATTCTCAAGTATTTCCAAAAAATGAAGCGGAAGGAACATGCCTAAACTCATTTCATGAGATCAGTATTACACTGATATAAAAGCTAGATAAGAATAGCAGTGTAGCACTGTCCTCCCATTGTTCATCAATTTGCTCGAGCAGGCACCAGTAACGTCTCCATTGTGAGACTTGTTGTGACTGTTTTTGGCATATCGAATACGCTATGGGGAGCTAGCAAGGCTCTGCCATGCGGGCGGGATACTCTCGGTAGCTTGCCAGGATCTCTGAGAGGGATAGAGGAATCGAACCCAGGTCGGCTGTGTGCAAGGCAAATAAATGCCCTACCTGCTGTGCTATTGCTCCAGCAGTGGCGCAAATTACCCACTCCTGACCCGGGGAGGTAGTGATGAAAAATAACAACAGAGTCTTTTGAGGCCCTGTAACTGGAATGAGTCCACTTTAAATCCTTTAACAAGGATCCATTGGAGGGCAAGTCTGGTGCCAGCAGCTGCGGTAATTCCAGCTCCAATAGCGCGTATTAAAGTTGCTGCAGTTAAAAAGCTCATAGTTGGATCTTGGGAGTGTGCGGGCGGTCTGCCGCGAGGCAAGCCACTGCCCATACCCTCTGCCTCTATGTGCCCCCTCAATACTCTTAGTTGAGTGTCCCGCAGGGCCCGAAGCGTTTACGTTGAAAAAATTAGTGTTCAAAGCAGGCCCGAGCCACCTGGATACCGCAAACATTAGAAATACACCAGCCAAAACCACAATGAGCCAGGGTACGGTGCCACCCAGTAGGTCAAACTGTAGCTGTGTGCGAGGCGAGTACATCAGTAGCCCGATGGTGTCTTCAGGCTTCCTGATACCCTAAAATTGTCACTGTGCCTCTGGCAGGACCCCAACAGCTTGGGAGCAAGTTTCCTGAGAAATTAAATGGCCAAAAGTTACACATGTGGGAGTCAGCCCCACAAACCACCTCCAGCTCAGCAATGCAAGATCATTTGTCGGCTTTACTTCAGAGACCCATAAATCAATCTTGGAAGAGGTCAAAAGCTACAGTTGATCTTGGACCCATGCAAGGCTGAACAGACGAGGGTGAACTGGAGGGGGGCAAGTTAGCTTGGTAGCTGCCCAAGCAGAGAGGGCCTCTGGCAGCCGCTGGCTTCCACAATCCAAAAGCTTCGTGATGCCCCATGCCTGACTCCACCATCTCAGGACAGACCTCACCGTCAACAGACATGTCTGCTGAAAATTCAGGTATGCAAGTTTTGTGACTGAAATCTCCATTCTTTCTTCGGGTCAGGATGGGCTACCTCCTTCCACCTCGCTGTACTTCCGGAAGCCTCCCTGTACTTCCGGAAGCCTCAGCAGTCACATCCAAACCCCGAAGCTGCCACCCAGCTAAAGAGCTAATCCAGCCTAACCATCCTGATAAAAATGCTGAATGACCTGACTAAACACAATGATTTCTTAATACCTGTCTTGCAAACCCAAATGCACAAAAATAGAAGGAGGCCGGGGGTGGGGTATGGGGTGTTGGGGGATGGTGGGAGGGAAATAGGGGACACTGGTGGTGGGAAATGTACCCTGATGAAGGAATGGGTGTTGGATCATTGTAGGACTGAAACCTAATCATGAACAGCTTTGTAATGGTCTCACTCGGATATTCGAAAAATAACAAAAAAACCACAACGAGCTAGAACCTCACACCAATGAGAATGACGACTGCAAGGAAGAATAAATATCAAGCATTGGCAAGGATATGGAGAAAAGAACCCGACTGCTTTGATGAGGGGAATGGAACCTTGGTACAATCATTGTATCTAACAGTTCTTTAATATTTTGAGATACCTCTAAGCTATCACTTATCTAGCAACCCCATTTCAGGGTATCTATCCAAAGAAACAGAAGCTGAAATCAGTATCTCCTAAGTTTATCTGCATTCCATGTTCATGATAGGGCTTTTGTTCCCACCCCGAAATGTCCAAGAATGGATACATATATTATTTAGCTATAAAAAGAAAATCCTAACATTGAATAGATTGAGGGCATTGTATCTAGTAAAACAGACATATTTTACTACCAAATATGATCTCACTGCATGCAGAATCTTAAAAATGGAGAAGGCAATGTACCCTGGGGTTGCCACATCCCAATCCTAGTGCATCATTTCTCCTTTATAATCTCCATCTTTCTCACTGATGAATCACAGATCCTTGGTTTAGTATCCTCCCTCAGTGAAAATTTTTATTTCGCTGTCAAAAGTCCAAACCAACCAGTCCTCAAGAAGACAAAGAGGGAGAGATGGTTACTAGGGGCAAGCAACTGAGGAAAATGAGCTAAAAGGGTACCCGCTCAGTTAAGACACGAGGGAGCATGCCTGTGTACCATATGGTTATGACAGCTCGCAATATTGTAGTTACGGACTTAAAAATGTAGATAAGCAGGCAGATCTTAATTTTATCATGCCCCCCAAAAGAAACGGTAACTATGTGATGAAACAGAGACGACAGTTAACTACTATGGTGGCAATCACTCTGCAAATTACCAAAGCAATGTGTTGTACATCTTAAACTTTATCTCAGCACGGCTGGGGCTGGGCCAGGAAGGTGGCGGTGGGAGCTCCAGGTTCTCTCCATCCCAAGCACTGCCAGGAGTGGGCCTACACCAAGAGGTATGGCCCCTCACATGCACCCCCAAGAACAGCTGGGACTGAGGGGGGAGGAAAAGGAGAATTAAAAAGTCAAAGGAAAGAAAATTGAGGTGGCATTCTTCTGTTTTTCTAAACTGAGTTATCCAGTTTCTGTCTTTCTTCTTTTCCTTCCAAGACACTTGTTTTACTTTTATTTTGTGGATAAAATCTTTTAAAGAAATGGGGCCTATAACTTCCACAATTTCAAATATGTATTTATATATCTGCTATATTATATACAGCCTTTCTCTGCGATTCCTGCTGCAGGGAAGAAAGATGGAGATATAATGTTTAAGCTTCAATCTGATTTGGGTTTCTACCACTTTCGACCAAGACTCTTACTTATTGATCTGATAAAGAAATCTTGGTAATTCAATATACAGTGATTATGAAAGAGAATTTGGGAAAACAGATGGCTAATGGAAAGGCTGAAGAAAAAAAATATACTCCATAATTGAACAATTTGTTGAGTGTCATTACATGATGGTGATCACCTAAATGGAGAATACGAGAGTCAAGAGACAGGTTCAAAAAATAGTCATCACTATTGTTGGTGACTATTTCAATTAACCTTAATGGGGTTTTGCTTGCCAGCCCGCCTGCCTATCGGAGTTTATTATCTACCGCATAATTTTCCAACTTCTGCTCAGTCAAGGTCTCTTTAGTATAATTACATTTGCCACAAAAGACAAAAGCTTAAATGCTATATTAAACTATATTTTGGGCTGTGCAATAAGCTCTCAATTCATTACACAGAAGATAATGCTGGAGAAAGGTGGCAGTCCTGAGCATGACTCAGCTACCTTGGAGAAGCACAGCCTAAGAACCGCGGGCTTGCGACCAATTTCCTGCCCCTAAACTTTGGCAGCAGATATGACTTCTTTTCTTTGTTGCTGTTGTTTCTGGGTCAGACCCAGCAAGGCTCAGGGCTCTGTACTCAAGAATCACTCCCACAGGTGCTTGGGGAATCATATGGGATGCTGGGGATCAAACCTGGGTCAGCTGTGTACATGGCAAACGCCCTACTTTAGTACTCTCTCTCCAGCCCCCAGCCCCAGATATGACTTCTAAAGGCCTGGAAGTCTCTTTCCATAAAGACAAGCAAACAAAAAAAATTATTTTTTATAATATCTCTTTAAGAGATGTTTGCTTACCAGAAAAAAGAAAAAAAAGATGTTTGCTTACAATATCTCTAAGTAAGAGATATTGAAAAAAGAAAGGTATGGTATTGTAAGTAAGCAAATGTCGGTGAGGCCATGGAAATATGTTTACCATGTCACTCTCCTTATCTTTAACTTCCAGGTGATGCTATAATACAGCCAAAGGAAATAAAAATTTCTTAGGAAAAAGCAAAGAAGAAAGGGAGATGGATGGGGAGGGTTAAGAGAAGCAAAATTAAAAAAAAAAGTATATAAGGAACCTAGATCCACAGCTCCAAGAGAAAAAAAGAGAAAAACTTAAGCTGAGTTTTCAGTGTAGCCTTCACGTAGACACACTCACCGTCCTCAGTGTCGTAGGCGTAGGCTGAGAGGCGCAGCGTGGTGGCACAGTACTCGCATTTGAAGCAGCTCCGGTGGAAGAACTTGCCCTCCGCGCTCAGTCTCTCCATCACGTAGACTCTCTTTTGGCAAAAATAGCACGTGTCGCTGCCTCCCAAATTCTGCGGGAACTCCTTCTTTATGGAACCCTGCGAAGGGATTAGGGGAGCACATCAGGCTACACTTCTCAGGCTCACCTCCAGGAGGCGACACCCTCTCTAAGTGAAGCGGCCGCTCAGGAAGTCGTTCTGGTGGGACACAGGCCACAGATAACTCACTTTGCTCTCAGCTCTCGGAAAGAGCAGCCCTGTCCCCACAGAGAACCCAGCAAGTGGACACAACTCTTCTGCAAAGTTTTAGAGCAATCGAACCAAATTATTTTGAGAGATTTCTGTTTTGTGGATAGCATAAAAATTTTAGGATCCACCACTAAATTCAATGAGTGAAAACAATAGCACGGACAGCTCAACCAACACCAAACAGCTCAGCAACTCCTTGGACAACGATGTCAGAAACGCCATTGTGTGATACGTTGTAATGAGCAATAGAAAGTAAATTATTTGGTGACTGCTAAGGGAGCAGGCTGCAGGGGTGGGTGTGTAACTTAGGACACTGGTGGAGGGAAGATCACACTGATGTGGGATTGGTGGTGGAATACTGAATATTTGAAATGACTGCAGAATGAATAACTTCACAAATCACAGTGTTTAAATGCAGTTTCAAATTAAAAAATAAATTAGGGTCCAGAGAGACAGGGCCCAGAAAGGAAGGAAGGTGCTTGCCTTACATAGAGCCAACCCCAAATGACTCCCCAGTACCACATGTAGTCCCCCGGAGCACTGCCAGCGGTCACATTTCTGAGCACAGAGACAGGAATGGTCCCTGGGCACTTCCAGATGTGATGGGCACTGCTCCCGACCCGAATCTACCCAATGTTCATGTGGCTGGTTCTACATCACTACAAAGCCCCTGGACTCTAGGTCCCAGGGAGGTATTCTTTCCCATACCTAGACACAAAGTATGCTCCACCATATGCCATTCTAAATCATTTCTGTAAAAAATTCTGTATCAAAATTCAAACAATTCAAGAGAAAGTTACCACAAGGCATATTCTGACCACATACACTGCCAAACGACTTTGAACACATTAGATTTGTTTATGATACCATATTCTATCTAGATAGACGGTGCTCTTAATATATCTCTTACCAGTTCTTTCTTGTCTAGAAGGGTTTTGGGCTGTTCTTTCCTTTGAAGCTGACTGGCTATCTGCTTAGCCAATGAGCTCACTCCACCTGTGTACAGCTTTATGTACTTCTACTGGCCGGAGGTTACATTATGATCAGAAAGAAAGGAAAATGAGAAGGAAAAAATAAATTAAGAAGACAGAGAAAAAAATCTTTGGAAGGTGTTAAAATGAATACACGGTACAGCAACAATCCATGCCAACACAGTGCCCACAGCCAGGTAAGTTTGGTGCGAAGAAAAGCAGGTGTCAGTGTCCACACAGAACTATCAATATAGACAGAGGAGAATGGGCACAGGCACAAATAACTCAGTAGGAGAACACACTTAATCCTTCACTTCTTTTTGGAATACAACAAAATCTCCAATGGAGACGTTACTGGGCCCACTCGAGCAAATCGATGAACAACGGGAGGGCCTTTTAAAAAATAATTGCAGCAAGATGGGGAGACGGGGAAATAGTAGGATGTAGATATGCAGATGTAGAAACAAGTAAGAAGGGGGTACATGCACAGGTGTGTGCATGTGCGTGTGTGTGTGCGCACACACACGTGAGCGCGCACTTGTGTCCAAGTGACTTGAATTACCTACAGCAAATTGAAGAGAAACAATTCCTATCCAGACAGCAGATGCTCTGATTTGACAACATGTTTTAAGGGTTTGGGAAGGTTTCTCTCCATTTAGAGAAAACAACTAAGGGGCGATAGCGATAGCACAGCAGGTCTCTTGCCTTGTACATGGCCCACCTGGGCTTGGTCTCTGACCCCCTTATGGTCCCCTGAGCCCACCGGCAGTGATACTTGAGTGCAAAGTCAGGAGTGAGCCCCAAGCACCCTGAATATGACCTAAAAACCAACAACAAAAACAAAAAACCAAGTTCACAATTGAGAGTCAAAAGTTGACTCTAGTTGAGTGTGAGATGCCAATAGTCTAGTGTTATGTGTGATGCTTCCTCCTTAGCTACACTTCACCTCTAAGCCCTGCCAAAGTCCTGAGCTTTATATTCATTCCAGCTTCTGATATCAAAGCCCTCTAAGGTGGGCTGGGCCTCTTCAACAAAGAGGCTTTTACTCACAGTCAGAGCCATACTGCTCAGTCTCAGGAGGCCAGGAGATATTTCTACTTGGGCAGGATTACTATCTATAAGCTGGAAAAAAAATGATAAAAAAAAAGTTGGGGCAGAGAAAGAAAAAAAAGAAGAAATCCATGTAGCTCAAACTTCTTTTGAGTAGTGTTGAAGAAAGAAGAAATGGCCACATTCAATACTACGACTTCTTCCTGTGATCATCTCCTTCCTTGAGAAGGAGGTCTTGAGTCTGCTGCAGACCTTTCGAAAAGCCGTTCCTCCCCACGGAGATGGCAGGGATTCGCAGTGACGGGGACCCACATGGGGCTAGAAAACACTGTAGTTTAAGGGGCCTGGATTCTAATTCCACCATCGAAGTACTATCCTAGCCTGACTTTGTTTAGCTTCTGAGATCAGAAGAGACTGGGCGAGTTCAGAGTGGTATGATCGTAGACTGGATTCTGATTCTGATCCAGAAACACAGCAGAAATAGTTCTGGTGGGGTCAAGAGTCCATCCGAAATGATCTGAATGGACAAAAGCACAGCATACCTTGGCCAGGGCAGAATAACCAGGGCAGTGTCTAGACAGAAACTAATTTTAAGTTGTAGCTGCTGCTTCTTTCTTTCCAGGTGGGACATACGCACACCAGCTGTGCTCAGGGATCACTCATGGAGGACTTGAGGGACCATATGGACCATATGGGATGCCAAGAATTGAACTCAGGTCAGTGGCAAATAAGGAAAGCAGCGTACCGGGTGTGCTATTCCTCCAACCCCAAGTTGGAGCCTTTCAAACTGTAACTTTCTAAAATACTATTTCACAACAAATTCCTTACTGAGCTACTATTAGTAAATATTTGATTTATATACCTGTTTCATATATTTACATCTCTATTGGACAAGAGGGTCAGGAGCTGCAGACGTTTATGACGTCTGTTCTAAGTGAGCGTACGAATAGCAGATGTCAACAGAACCCAAAGATTCGGCTAAGATTGAGGAGTTAGTGGAATACATTTTCTTCTTTTTTAAACTAAGGACATTTAAAAAAAAAGGTTATTTCCAACGACTGGAGCCATATGCTCATTAATATCACAGTTTATGCTCATTAGTGGTTCAGAAAAACAAAGTGGCATCTAGGTCCAAGCCTTTTCTCGGTGCGACATTAAAGAAGCCCGGAGCAGGCAGCCAACCTGGCAAGACTGAGCAGACAGAGTAAGCAGAAAATGGCACTTCTCTCATTCTGCAGCAGGGCAGTGAGCGTGTGGACCCGAAGGAGAGCACCTGGCTGGACTGTGAGCACATCTCTCAGCAGACGGGGGCATATCAGCTGCCAGGCCCAGGGTGCCAGTGTGCAGGCTGCTCACACTCCATTCTCAGCAGGTGGTGACACTCACAAGCATCCCCCCAAGAGAGTTGGCCACCAAATTCTACTTGTTTCAAACATTTTTTTTTCTTTTTGGTCACACCTGGCGGATGCTCTGGGGTTACTCCTGGTGGTGCTCGGGGGACTGTATGGGATGCCAGGGATTGAACCCAGGTCACATGCAAGGCAAACGCCCTACCTGCTGTACAATCACTCTGGCCCCCGATTGGTTTCAAATACAAAAAGCAGGTGGTTTCCTTCTCACCACTTTTAAGAAACAGTGGGACTGTGGCACTAGGGGTCCCACACAGCTACAGAGCACACACAAGCTACCATGCCCACACACAACGGTGCAGCTCGTTCTAAAAGAGAAAATGAACAGAAAGGGCAAAAGACCCTTCAACGTCTCTGTGAAATGCTCTTTTGCTGGCTCAGTCACATCACAAGAAAACAGGAGGGTTTTCTTTTCTTAAATGACTGCAAGTCAGGTGGCACCCAGAACACTGCAGAGTCCCCATTTTAAGGAGCAGGTAGAGATTTTTGGTCACATATTAATAGGACATTTTTCACTTAAATAGAAAAGGGCTAGAAAGCATTTATCATTATTCAATACCACTTAAATCAGTCAAAAGTGGATTTACTTTGACAGAAGAGCACAATGAAACCTGGCAGCCTCCTTAACTTCAGCGTATACCTAAAGCGCTCACATGCAAAACAAGGTGCGTGTGCGCATGTGCACGCGTGCGCTCTCACACACACAACCTGATCCCTACAGAGACATCAGGTAAGAGGCTGCCGCCTCTCTCAGGAAGATGACACTGGTGTAGGTGAGGGGAACGATGCAGCAAGGGAGCAGCTTTGCCAAGTCCCAGGCTGTGCTACCTGTCGGAGGGAGTCAGAGGAGGGGCGGGCAGGGCGGCTGCAGGTGCGGAGCCTAAGGGAAAGTTCCCACTGGTGGACAAAAAATCGATGAGAAGGTTCAGGCTCTGGCTAAAAAAAAAAATCAAAGAAAACATTTAAGGAAAGGTTGTACAGCGACCCCTAATAAGGAATTTGGCAGTTTTATACTTTATCAAAGTGACAAATAAAAAGCACTTTCTTTTTTGTGGATTTAAAAAAAAATGCGTTTAGTTCCCAGAATCATTGCAGGCTTCCTTGGTGCTCTGAGCTCCCTCTTTCCTCTTGCACCCAGCGAAGCTTGCTCTGGAGCCGGGACCCTTGGGAGGTGCAGGGACCGCAGCCCCCCGAGCCAGCGAGCGTGTGAACAGCAGCAAGAGCAGAGCGCAGAGGGCGCGGGCACAGCTCACACCAGGCTCAGCAGAGCCTCTCACTGGCCTCACCTGGAACTTCTCTTGGGTACCTTCAAACCATCACTCCTCATTCCACTAGCCTTAGAGGGTGGACAACAGACAAGGCAAATCCAAAGTGGAACTCAGCCCTGCAGACGTCAGAACGCGCCCACTCCTCCTGGGAG